CCCCAAAAAGCATTCAAGGACTTTCAAGGACAAGTGTATTTTTTGGCTGTTTTCACAAACTTTCCAGGGCCGTGAAATCTTTTTTTTAATCCACAACCTTTCAAGGATTTCAAGGACCCGTGGGAACCCTGATTATATGTAAAGTATCTGTATAGTGTTAATACTAGAGAGACACGCACAGCTGGAAACAAATTCCTTGTGTGTGTCAACGTACTTGGCCAATAAACCTGATTCAGATTCTGATTCTGATATTACAGCACCCTCTGAGGTGAGATGCTGACCGACGTACAAGGTTTGGGTCTGGCTGCAAGGTGGAAAGAAAAGAGTTCCAGCAGTTGGGGGAAAATGATGGATGATCATGACTGGAACCAGTGGTTCTGAAATGCACGCTGATATGAATATAAGCAGGCTTAGAGAGAATGCTAAATCCACTAATAGGTTTATCACTGACATCTGTTGACAAATCATCTCTACAGAATATGAATCAAATATGTAGCACAGTTCTATGACAGCAGGTTTTCTTCATCTGCCCTTAACTTTGCACTTCAACTTCTTGAACAAAGACAGAAATCATAAATAGGAACTCTAAGTTTCAATGTGTTGGAGGGAAACCTTGATGGTGCTGGTGTAGACCTACCAGAAGTAGATGGGAGGTGGGTAAAACTGCTCAGACAGGTGAGAGTGAACCAGGTGGAAGACAGCGAAGCTCCTGCCAACATCAGCACCAGTATCAGCTTCAGCATCCCACGAATAGAGTCAGCAAATCTGAGGGGGCGTAAAGAAAGAGCAGTGTATGGTCATTAAAAACTTTAATACAATGTAAAAAAAAATAAAAATACCAGCAGATAAGATTGCTGGAGTGAGTGAAGACAGCTGGTTCAGAAACGAGACACATCCTACTCACAATAAGCAGAAAGGCAATTTTTCACATTCTGTTTCTTCTGTGGCTTGTGTCATAATATATTACTGAGGATACGCACTCTTTCAAGGAAAAGATTTATCATTTCCGTCTCCCACTTATTTCTGAGTGTGTCAGTTCTGCTTCTCATTAGACAAGCAGACACAAGGCGTACTGTTGATTCAATTTGTCTCACAGGCTAAGCAGGCAGACTGCAGACACACGTTGTGTATAAATCTGTGGAAGACAAGCCATCGGGCCATTTCACAGCTCTACTGAGTTCTGTGGTTTCTCTTACAGCCCTTTCTAAACTTTCCTAGTTCATTAGTTCCACCCTTCTCCTCTGGGTACACACATGTGTATGCTTGAGAAAGATTAGATGAAGCTACAGAAGCCTGGAGCAAAGACAGACACTAATTACTTTTGTTGTGTTGCACACAGATAAAACGCTTGAGAAAGAAAGGCTAAACTTGACAACTAACTTAAGGCAATAATAAAAAGATATATTAGAAATGGCTGTCTGGTTTGGGTAGGTGTTGACTGATGATGAAACCTTCTAAGTTGAACTCTGACACGGTTTCAGTGAATATTTCTCCTGCCTTTCACAGCCTGACACTTAACCTCGGTGTGAACAAAACATCAGAAATTTCTCCTTAAATCATTATGACTCTAAAGCAGAGAATCTTAACCCATGGGCCACGAGCGCCACCTTGAGGGCCTCAAAAGAACAACAGTTTTTAAC